AATTGGTTTAGTCCATGCATCTTCTTTTGGGATTTTGAAAGGAGTTGCTAGAATCTGTTTATTAGCAGTTGTGATGAGAATAGTTTCTTGTGGGGGATGAATAGAAGAGACAATAGTCTTGTTTTCTTTAAGCCAATTTTCTTTGGTTATTACTTCAAGTTTTTTGTCAGACTTATAGTACTTCTCAACATAATCGAAGAAAAATACCTCAAATCTATGAGTTTCCATATATATATATATACACACACACACACGCTAATTACTTATACAATTTTTTGGGAGTTATTACTTATATATGGTGTGCCCTGTTTCTTAAAAGATGTTTAACGAAGGAATTGTAACTTATTTGGTCATGAGCATACACCATTGCACTGCAGGTACCGAGTGCGATCTCCCCTACTCGTTCGAATTAAAAAAAGTCCCCAAAGATTGTGTAATGGTTGTATATAAATCGTTGGCTTTCTTATTCAATAAATTACATGCCTCGTACATTTTATTAAAGGTAAAAGTAAATGTAGTAAGTGGTGGATTATCTTGGTAGAAATGGATTTTCTTTTTTAACTCACTGTGTCATGACTTTAAATCCTTCTCTTCCTTTTAGCGTAACGTAAAAAAAATATATCGTTTGTAATAAAATAAGAGTGGTGCTATTCACACATTTATTTTTACATCTCATGTAACATCCCACATTGCCTAGGGAAGTGGATCATCTAAGCCTTATATGTACATTCCCACCTCCATCTAGCACGAGGCATTTTGGGAACTCACTGGCTTCAGATTCCATCGGAACTCTGAAGTTAAGTAAGTTCGCATGAGAACAATCCCAAGATGGGTGACCCATTGGAAAGTTCTTGTGTGATTTCCCAGAAACAAAACCGTGATGGTGTGGTCGGGGGCCAAAGCGGATAATATCATGCTACGGTGGAGTCGAGCCGGGAATGTGGTGGGGGACATGGCTCGGATGTGACATCTCACACACATTTCTCAATTTACAGCTATAGGATCTAATGAATTAAAGAAGATTAATTGACAAAAATTAATAAGGGTGTGTGAGAAGTAAAAATAGGGGTGTAAATAGCACTGCCCTAAAATAAAACTAAAGGTTTTTTTTTTTGCTTAAGGTTATTTTAATTAAATTTCTTACTTATTTTAAGTCACACACACAAAAAAAGTTTTACTTTTGTTTTTAAAATTGAAAGAGAGGAAGAGATCAGAGAGAATGTGAGACTGGGCCGTAAGGGAGAGAGATTTTTTTTTTTTTTTAAATTTTTTAAAATTAAAGATGTTAAAATCACTTGTAGGTGATGCTTAAACAAAAACCATCAAAATTTTATTTGTGAAATTATGTTACTACCCTTAACTTTTTTGTTGTGATAAAAGACTAAATAGTCTTTTCACCATCTTTTGGTTAACAAAAAGAATTATATTAATATGTAGTTTGATTACATGATATACGTGTATTCGTAAACTTACCAATTAATCTTTTTTATATGCAATGATATTTTACACTAACAAGTGAAGCATATCAAATTCTCTATTCATGGGTTTCAGAATCTAAGATGTTTCACTTGTAAGTGAAGAGAAATATTATTAAAATGTGGCCTAGTGGCAAAAATAAGAATTTAATATGCTATGTTTTAGTGAAATTTTGCAAACCACATGACACACCCCGACCGAGATCAAGGCATGCTGGCCGTCATGTAAGAGTGACGTAGCCATGTGCACATTGCGGAAGCAATAAAGATAAGGATTATACAAATAATTAAAAACTGAGTTACTAGAGTGCACTACTAAACAGGAAGTTATAGGAGTTAGTTACAACAGTAAACACTCCTAAGCATAGCATATTAAGTCTAGGTACAGTCCAGTAGGACAAGTATTAATTATACAGTACCAGGAATATCCTACTATTATTTAGATAGGTCAGAACCGCCGACGTCCTCAAGCTTTCAACAACAAGCTTACTTAAAACCTTGAGGGGTACAAAACAGAAAACGTGAGTGGGCAAAAACAAATGTTTTACAAAATCATTTTCTTATCAACATATCTAACCCCTCGCTATAAAACATGTATAATTTTCCCAGAATCAAGATATAAGTATATACATATATATTTATATATCTCAAATCATAACAATTCAATTCATGTTTCACATAATCATATTCAAATATATGCCATGCCAATATATAACAGAGTAAACAATTCAGGTGAGAATAAATTCATAGAAATATGATATGTTAGTCGGAACCCCTGTGGTAGTCTGTACGGCTGAATTCATAGTTCAAAAGTCAATCTAGCGGGAGTCACTACAATAACCTATACGGCAATATAATGCACATAAGTCGGAACCATTAAAAAAGTTTGTACGACAAGATTGGGTGTAATATAGTTATGCTCAATTTTACTCTCTCATAATAGCCGGGTGATAAATCGCTAGTCACCTACGAGTCAGAACCATAAATAAGGTCTGTACGACAAGAATGTGCACTTAAGTTGGATCCAATATGAGCATATAGTGCAGGATGTGACGTAAATAAACAGGCATGTACTTCATATCTCTGGCTAAATCACATTCACCCTAGGTGCAGTTTTATGAGCTCAACATTATTCAATCACATATCACATCATCGATGATTCACATAATCAAACATAATTTACCTGAACTTACCTGTGCCTCCACAGCACCGCATTTATATATATATGCAACCATGAAATGCATATTCAGAATATAAAAGCATTTGACATATTATTTCAAAGCATACTTTCCTTAAAAATGCATTTCTAGGAAATATATAAAGTATATATATATATATATATATATATATATATATATATATATATATATATATATATACTGAAAACAAAAGCCCACTCACTATGTCGACAGGTTGTAAGTCCCGAGTCGCCCATGGATACGCTCGTCCTCAGGATAAGTCTCACCTATATGCGAATTAACTATAAAAACGTTATTTTAAAGCACATAGACAAAACTAGCTAATAACTTCTCATACATTGCTTAAAATGGGTATATGAATATACCACAGTGACCTACACAATCTTAGGATCATCCTCAAATTTTTAGAATATTTTTCCGAACTCTCACGCGACGCCACGAGCCAGCAAGGGCATGGCAAAACGCGCCGGCCATGCGCGGCCACGTGCCTGGCACGCGTAACGGAACAGAAACAGCGTTAGGAATATTCCGTTAAAACCCAACGGTAACCGTCCAAACTAACTGACGGCATTAGCATATTCCGTCCAAATTGATGAAATATTCCGTCTTCGTCTCCAGCGAGTCGCCGGTCGCCGGAAAACTGGGTAAAACTTTAAACTCACTAATCTCGCTCGTTTTTTAACCATTTTTCATGAAATTTAAACCATATGAAAGCTTACAGTGAGAAGAATGGCGTTATACCTATTTAAAGCTTCCAATCTCACGAAATCAAGTCGGAGAAGCTTCGAAATTCCGACCAAAACTGCAACTCGACGTTTCTCGTGATCCCGAAGTCCAAATTCCTCAAACGAACTACCCCGAGACTCGTGAGGACCTCATTAAGCTTCCTATGAGCTTAGATTTCCCTAAAACACAAGGTTTTACGTGAGTATGAACAGTGCATGAAGATTGGATTACGGGTTCACAAGTTTTCGAATGATTCCTTACCTGAAATTGGTGTCAAATGATTTGTAGCATTACAAGGAACACAATGGTGACAATTTCACCCTCGATCTGCAAGGTTTGGGGTGAGTTGAAGCTTGTCCGTACGAAAGAGGGAAGAGAGAGAGTGAAAACCGAGAGAGAGAGAGTAGGGAGTGTGAGAGAGAAGGGAGGAGTAATGTGTGTGGTCCAAAACTAGCCAACAACCCAATCACAACCAAAGCTTCTTAGTTCCTAAGTGGTTCCAAAAACTTAGGAGAAGCTTAATTAATCCATCTCAAAACAAATCACACACCACACATTTATATATCCAAAGGTAAACTAGTCTTTTCACATCAACGATAATTATTTCTTGGGACGGGCTGTGACACCACATCATTTGGTTTGCAAATTTGGTTTAAAAAATTTGATCTTCCTAGCATTACCTTGTTATTTAAGCTTGAGTTTTGGTTTGTAAATTTGGTTTTCCTAGCATTACTCTAAATATTATGCTTAAAAAAGGAGAAATTTTTCGGTAAACTGGGTACACACATAAGCATAACAAATGGTGTTCCCAGCTAATTACTTACTGACAACTCTAAAATAACAATTAAAACAGAGATAACTCTTTCAAAAATTAATTGTTTTGATAAAAAAAATAAAAAAAAAACAGTCATTAGCCGATTCCAATTCCCCATATCGACCCACCACCATTTCTCGTCCTTCCCCAACCGCACCGACGACCATTTCCACCATTCCTCCCGTGGAACCATCCATACCATCTTTACATTCTTAATCATGCTTAATCATTTTGTAGATCAACCAAATATAACAAAAATCGAAATAAATAAGAAAAACATGATTAACTGATGGGGATTTCGATGACCTCACAAACCCTTAAACGACAGCAGATCTGAGGGTGCCGCTGACTATTTTCGGGTTACATGTCAACATAAGAGTGGGAGAGAGAAGAGGGAAGAGGAGAAAGAATGTTACTGGTGTTGTGACGTGGAAGGGGTAAATTTGGAGTTCAATTGACAAAAAATTCTGATTATTTAACAAAACTTCACTTAAATGATAACGTGACTATTTTTTTTATTTTAAAGCTAAGATATCAAAGTGTTATGATTTTATTTGTTGAGAACTCCGTGTCATTTCATTTCATGTTCTAGGTAGTCAGAAAACTTCCTCCTTAAAAAACAAAAACAAAAACAAAAAAAAGATTTGAGTTTTTGTCCAACTAATTTGTTGCCACTTTTCCCGTATCCGTCTGTACCTCTCAATTGTACCTCTCGTCCTTTTTCTTTTCCTTAATTTTTGAAACAGCCCGTCTCTCTCCTCCAAAGCCGTACATTAGGCAAACCCGCGCTTCCCTCTCTCTCTCTCTCTCTCTCTAAAACTCTCATTCATTCGCTTCTGCCTTCTGGCTGTGGCTGCCTGTTCTGGTTTTTGGTTAATCCTCTCGCGAAACCTCATCCGCAAAGGAAAAACCAAACAGAAACAATAGACAACCTATTAGCCCCAACCTGCCAAAACACCCCAAAAACGTTGTCCTTCTGTTTGTTTATTGTTGCTAAGACAACTTTTCTTTCTCCTATTCTGTAGTGTTCAAGGGCCAACCTTTTCGTCTATCTCTATAAATTATTCATCTTTTGGGATCGATTGGGATTTTTTGCACGCGTGAAATCCTTCTGGTACTTGTCCGTGGGTTTGATTTGTACCTCAAGGGTTTGTTTTGTGTGAATCGTATATATCTAGTTGTGGAAATTGAGTCGTTTTCTTAGAGTTTATTGCCATTTTTTTGGAAAAAAGAAAAATAAAAAGGAAGTGGTTGGTGACGAGGTACTTGGGATTTTGAAGATTGTTTTTGAACTGGGAATATAAAAGAAGGGAAGCTGCTATCGATTTTTCTCTTTGGCGCATGATTATCAATACTGGAGGCAATTTGGTTGTTGTAATTGAGTTTCAATTGGATCATATTTTTCTGTTTGTTTGTTGAATTTAAAGATACCTTTGTTGGTTAAATCGATTTGTTAACACGAAAGGCTTTTCGAATTTATCTGTTTTGAGCATTTGTCATTGATGGGATTCATCCAAATCTGGCAAACATGATGATGAGATGACGACGAAAATTTGAAGCTTTGTTGATCATGTCTCTCTAAGACAGCAGTTTGACACAGATTTGTTTTTGGGATTTGCTTGTTTTCTTTTGATTGTTTTTTGTTGTTTCGATTACTCTTTGGTAGTTGGTGTTCTGCGATTCGGTTGTTCTGCATTGATTGTTAGCAATGGATTCAAGGACAAGTGAGAATGTTGAAGTTGCGGATGTACCAAACATGGTGGATCACTTGAAAGGTAATATGAAGTCAAAGCTCAGAAGTGCAGGGAGTGTGAGTTTCAAAGAGGTGGAACCAAATATTACGGGCACAGGAAGTATTAGTAACAAAGAGATGATCTTCCGAGCGGATAAAATCGATTTGAAGAACTTAGATATACAGCTTGAGAAGCATTTGAGCCGGGTTTGGTCCAAAAACATTGAGAGAACCAGGCCTAAGGAAGAATGGGAGATTGATTTAGCTAAATTGGAAATAAGATACATTGTAGCTCGAGGGACCTATGGTACCGTATTCAGGGGTACCTATGATGATCAAGATGTTGCAGGTAATCACTAATAATGCCATTGCCATTGTAATTTTGATTTTGATTGGTCCTGTAGGATATCGTGTTTTTGTTTTGATTACAATGGAGTTGCCGATTTGTTGAATACATATTCTCCAAGTATCTCTGATGTTAATTTGGGATCTCATCACCAATTTTAATTTGGATTGGAGTGTAACGATAATGATGTAATATTTGAATTTGAATAATGGTGATGTTAAAGCACTAATTTGGAACATATCAAGTTTTTAGGCATAAACTGGATTACATGTTACATGTTCACATTTGAGCCATGACATGTGAGTTTTATATGGTCATGGTATGCATGCTAATTTATCTTTAGATATTCACCTTATCTTTGTTAGTGTGTAAATTGTGATCTGATGTGGTAGTTGTATTTCTAGCTTATATTGCTAGGATGTTTAGCTAAATTGGTTGTATGCTTTCTTATCTAAGTCTCTTAGTTCTTAAGTAAGTGAGTGTACATGTGTCTTCATCTCATAGGGTGTAAGATGGATGGCTAGGATTACTTGGATGTAATTTTGAATACTGCCAAAAGATTGGAAGTGTAACTGTTAAGTGTAGAGAGATGTTCCTCTCTCACTTGGTGAGCAATCAAACAGTGCGTGTGTGAAGAATTGCAGAGTCATATTCTCTGCTCTCATTCATTCCCTCTCTCTCTCTAGTCATTGCAGCATATCCTCCATTGTTGTACTACATTTTCTTCTAATTTTAACATGGCCTCAGAGCCTTGTTGGGTCTGAATCTCTGGGCGTCGATTCTGTGAGAGATAGTGAGCAAGTGTTTGCAACACATCGTTGCAAAGAAAATAGTAGAGAGAGGTGTGATCTGAGTCTAACATGGCTGGATCTGGTGGAGGGGAGCTTCGAGCTCCGGTGTTCAACGGAGAAAACTTCGATTTCTGGCAGATTCGAATGAAAACAATCTTCCGATCTCACGAGTTATGGAATATTGTTGAAAAAGGTTTTACCACTTCAGCGAAAGGGGAATGAGACCTCACTGAGGTGGAAACGAAGTTGCGGAGTGAAAATCTGGTCAAGGATGCAAGGGCTCTTGGAATCATTCAGGGAGCCATATCGGATCAAATTTTTCCACGCATTGCAACCTTGGAAACTGCGAAAGAAGCTTGGGATATTCTGAAGCAAGAGTATGTAGGGGACAAACAGGTACGATCTGTGAAATTACAAGGTCTGCGTCGTGATTTTGAATATACCCATATGAGTGAAAGTGAATCTCTAGCTGCATATTTAGCTAGGTTGTTTGATCTGATAAATCAGATGCGAAGCTATGGAGAAGATCTTAGTAATCAGAGAATTGTGCAAAAGTTATTGATCAGTTTACCCAAAACATATGATAGCATTGCTTCTGTTATAGAAAATACTAAAGATATTGATGTAATTAATGCACAAGATGTGGTTGCCATATTGAAAGGGTTTGAACTAAGATTAATCAGACATGAAGAGAGTAGCACAGAACGTGCATTTGCTAGCTTAGATATCTTATCTAAGAATAGTAAATTTGGTAATCAACATACCAATACTGGTGGATCAAAATATCCGAAGAACTTCAAGTTCAAAGGGAAGCAGTGGACTAACAGGTTTACTCCAAGTGTAAGAAATGAAGCTAACAACACTGGAGGGGCATGCAAATACTGTGATAAACTTCACTATGGTGAATGTTGGCTAAAAGGGAAGATTAAATGTCACAAGTGTGGAAAACCTGGTCATATTGCTAGGATCTGCAATCAAAACAAAAATGCTCAGCAAGGGAATTTTGCAAACAAAGTGGGAGAGCAAAGAAACTTTACAAACAAGGTGGGAGAACCTGGAAATCTCTTCATGGTCAAGCAATCAACTGAAGTGAAAGCTGTGAGTGATGCCTGGTATATTGACAGTGCGTGCAATAATCACATGACTTCCAGAGAGGAGTTACTTGTGGAAATTGATAGAAGTATTAAGGCAAAAGTGCAAGTTGGCACAGGGGTTCTTGTTGATGTGAAAGGCAAAGGAACCTTGGTCATTGACACGGATAAAGGAAAAAGGTACATAAGAGAAGTTATGTTGGTACCTGGAATTGCAGAAAACCTTCTCAGTGTTGGGCAGATGACTGAACATGGGTATTTTCTGTTATTTGGTGATTATAAGGTGGATATTTTTGATGATAGAACTCTGACAAATTTAGTTGTTAGTGTGAAACAAAAAGGAAACAGATGCTTTCCACTTGTGTTCAAGTCAAACGATCATTTGGTACTGAAAACCAATGTGCATCAGAGTAGTACAATGTGGCATAAACGGTTTGGCCACCTGAATTTTAGAAGTTTGCAACAATTGCAGGAGCATGATATGGTTCTTGGGTTACCTGAAATGCATGACAGTGAAGGTGTATGTCAGGGATGTGCATTTGGTAAGAATCATAGAGTGTCCTTTCCAAGGGAGTCAATCTGGAGAGCAAGAAAGCCATTGGAACTTATACACTCAGATGTGTGTGGTCCTATGCAAACACCAACCATGAGTGGAAATCGATACTTTGTTACATTCATTGATGACTATTCGAGGATGTGCTGGATATATCTCTTGAGACACAAGTCAGATGTCTTTCATGTATTCAAGAAATTCAAAGCTATGGTGGAACTTCAAAGTGGTTTTTCAGTGAAGAAATTGAGAACAGATAGAGGAGGAGAATTTACCTCAAATGAATTTGAACAGTTTTGTGAAGCTTTGGGTTTGGAGAGGCAGCTTACTGTTGCATACTCTCCACAACAGAATGGAGTTGCAGAGAGGAAAAATAGAACTATAGTGGAGATGGCAAAGTGTATGCTTCATGAGAAAGGTCTTCCTTATAGTCTTTGGGTGAAGCTGTAGTTACATTTGTCTACTTGCTAAATAGATGTCCTACAAAAGCATTGGAAAATGTGACACCTTTTGAGAAATTCAGTGGAAGAAAACCTGGAATTCAACACTTGAGAGTGTTTGGCTCATTAGGTTATTCTCTTATTCCTGGAAACCTGAGACAGAAGCTGGATGAAACAAGTGTCATTGGTATTTTTATTGGATATGGCACTTGTGAAAAGGGGTACAGATTGCTTAATCCTGAAAATCAGAAAGTAATCATTTCAAGAGATGTTATTTTTTATGAGAATGGTACATGGGATTGGGATAGACAGAAGATCAAAGAAGTGTACATTCCAATTGCTGCAAGTGAATCTTCAGAGATGAAAGAAGCTGATGAGGATTCGGATTCCATGGAACAAGCTGTTGCTGAAGGTTCTCAGACTCAACTTACAGATTCTTCACTCATTGAATCTGGAAGTGCTAGTGACTCAATTTCTGCATCTCAGATTGATCATACTCCTTTGAGATATAGAAGTTTGAGTGAAATCTATGAAAGATGTCATGTGTGTATTGTTGAACCAGAATCCTATTATGAAGCTGCACAGGATGAAGCATGGAAGAAAGCTATGAAAGATGAAATCAGCATGATTGAGAAAAATAAGACTTGGGAATTAGTGAAAAGACCATCTGATAAACCTGTGATTGGTGTGAAATGGGTGTACAAAACTAAATTGAATTTGGATAGATCAGTTCAAAAGAACAAGGCTAGGCTTGTTGCAAAAGGCTATGCACAAAAGCCCGGAATTGATTATAATGAAACCTTTGCACCTGTGGCAAGGTTGGATACAATCAGAACATTAATTGCCCTGGCAGCAAAGAAACAAATGGAAGTTGTTTCAATTGGATGTAAAATCGGCATTCTTGAATGGGGTACTAGAAGAAGAAGTGTATGTTGATCAACCGGATGGATTTATTGTACAAGGGGAAGAAGATAAGGTCTACAGGTTACATAAAGCACTGTATGGTCTGAAGCAGGCACCAAGGGCCTGGTATGGTGAAATAGACTCATACCTTACACTCTGTGGGTTTAAGAAAAGCACTAGTGAAGCAACTCTGTATAACAAGTGGAGGAAAAGTTCAGAAATGATTATTGTGTCTATCTATGTTGATGACATAATATACACTGGAAGTTGTCAGGAATTGATGGATGATTTCAAATCTGATATGATGCTCAAATATGAAATGACTGATCTTGGACTCTTACATCACTTTCTTGGTATGGGAGTAATGCAAACTGAGGAGTATATTTTCATTCATCAGAGAAAATATGCTTCTTCTCTACTGAAGAAATTTGGACTTCAAGGCTGTAAGTCAGTGAGTATTCCATTGGTTCCAAGTGATAAATTGAGAAAATAGGATGGAAGTGGGACTGCGGATGAAGCTCAATATAGACAAATTGTAGGCAGTTTGCTGTATCTCATAGCAACTAGACCTGATATAATGTATGCTGCATGTCTGCTATCACGGTTTATGCACTGTCAACCAACAAGCACCTTGGTACAGTAAAGAGAGTACTAAGATATGTTCAAGGGACTCTTGATTTTGGCTTGGAATACAAGAAAGGCAAAGGAGCAATCTTAATGGGATTTTGTGACAGTGACTGGAGCGGTTCAGAAGATGATATGAAAAGTACATCGGGGTATGCATTCACCTTTGGCAGTGGAGTTTTCTCTTGGTCTTCAGTCAAGCAACAATGTGTTGCATTATCAACAGCTGAAGCAGAGTACATTAGTGCATCTGAAGCAACTGCACAGGCTACATGGCTGAGATTTGTTTTGGAGGACTTTGGTGAAATGCAAACAGTTGCAACACCAATGAATTGTGATAATACTTCAGCCATAGCTATCACTAAAAACCCTATTTTTCATCAGAAGACCAAGCACATCAACAGGAGATACCATTTCATAAAGGAAGCATTGCAGCAAGGAGTAATTGAGCTGTTGCATTGTCCTAAAAAAGAGCAAATTGCTGATATCTTTACAAAGGCATTGGCAAGAGAACAATTCAGTTATCTGAGGTAACTTCTTGGAGTTAAATCAGTTCACAATTTAAAGGGGGCTGTTAGTGTGTAAATTGTGATCTGATGTGGTAGTTGTATTTCTAGCTTATATTGCTAGGATGTTTAGCTAAATTGGTTGTATGCTTTCTTATCTAAGTCTCTTAGTTCTTAAGTAAGTGAGTGTACATGTGTCTTCATCTCATAGGGTGTAAGATGGATGGCTAGGATTACTTGGATGTAATTTTGAATACTGCCAAAAGATTGGAAGTGTAACTGTTAAGTGTAGAGAGATGTTCCTCTCTCACTTGGTGAGCAATCAAACAGTGCGTGTGTGAAGAATTGCAGAGTCATATTCTCTGCTCTCATTCATTCCCTCTCGCTCACTCTAGTCATTGCAGCATATCCTCCATTGTTGTACTACATTTTCTTCTAATTTTAACAATCTTGACGTAGTGATGTATTAGAAGGTTGTGATTGCAGGGCTTAAGTCGAATTTTGATCGACACATCAAAATCACATAATTCTGATATGATACGGCAGCAACTCTCTAATAATATGAATTGTATTTACAATTTTTGGCTTCCGTTATTGACAGTACCATTGCATGTATGGTCAATTGTGTACTGATGTCTATCGAACTTTCTGTCAAGGCGAATATGTGACATAAATCCTGTTGTTTCACTCTTTTCTCGCTAAGTGTTTATCAGTCATATAAGTAGGTGTTGAACCTCATATATGCTCTCTTGGATGCTTCCGACAATGTAAACTTAGGGGTACAACTTCGTATTTTGAATGATCTCAACTGGTAGTAGTATAATGAATGTGTTAATTAATGTAATGTTAGATAGGCCTTGGAAATAGTAGTTCAAAAAGGAAAAAAGAAACTTGTGGAGCCAGGATGCTAGCAAATTGATAATGGATTATTAAAAAACAGGAAGAACGGAAGAGCTTAATTTGTGTAGAGAGCAAGAAATATTATACTTTCGGGATTTTCTATGGTAGTATGAGAACTTTCTGTATGGTCCTAAAATCTGCAAAGTATCGTGTTTATGAACTACTGATATTGGGATTTGTTTGGTATTGCCTTATCCGGAATCCAATGGAGTTTGATCATTTGTCATGGTAGCATTATGATTGAATCTTGGCTTTCCGATATTGTATAACACTTGCGATTTAAATTTGGACTACGACTAACAAACTGAGGTCAAATAAGAGCAACAGAATTGTTTGCCTCTTTGTTTGCGTGTATATCGAATTCTAATTGCAATCTCATGCTAAATATTATAGTGAAGCTGTTGGACTGGGGGGAGGACGGCTATGCCACAGTTGCTGAAAGTGCTGCTCTGCGGGCATCGTTTCAAAAAGAAGTTGCTGTTTGGCACAAGCTTGACCATCCTAATGTTACAAAGGTGCATACCTGTTCTTCTTTATATCTTGTGTTCAGTTTTGAAATCCGCACTATTAATGTTCAATATATTGTCAGCTGTGGAGTGATTATCATTTCCATTTTGTGCTGGTGATGTTAATAGTTATTTTACTAAATGATTCGGTAAAATAGTAGTATCTTAGATCCTCAGTGTGGTTCTTTGTTTATTATAATCCTTTGGGTTTTAACGATTCTCTCCACTCCCCTCTTTTATCACAGTTCATTGGAGCTTCAATGGGAACTTCAGATCTTAAGATTCCTACAAAAGGCTCTTCAAGTGACGGTGTAATTTCACATCCTGCAAGAGCATGTTGTGTTATTGTGGAGTACGTCGCTGGTGGGACACTAAAGCAGTACTTGATAAGAAATAGGCATAAGAAACTTGCCTTTAAGGTTGTGGTCCAACTTGCTTTGGACCTTTCTAGAGGGTGAGTTCGATTGTTCTCTACATTTCAGGGCCATGTGTTTTCCAGTAAATTTGTATTGATCTGGGTTTTTGACCTTTCCCCTTGCAGTCTTAGCTATCTGCATTCTCAGAAGATTGTACACCGTGATGTCAAGACAGAGAATATGCTACTTGATACTCGCATAAACCTTAAAATAGCTGATTTTGGTGTTGCTCGTGTTGAAGCTCAGAATCCAAGGGACATGACTGGTGAAACTGGTACCCTTGGATACATGGCTCCAGAGGTATTCACGCCAGTTAGTATCTTTACATGTTTTGTTACCCTTAAAAGCTAATTCTTTAGTTGTGCTCTATGAACTTGGAATATAAGAACAAAAAGAAAAGAGAAATACGACAAACCTCACTACACTTTTAATGTCATCAATTAACACCTATAATTATGCATAGTTTCTAAATGCATCTTTTTGTTTGGTATTGCCCTTTAAAATGGGTGGAAATAACATGTGGCTTTCACATGTGAGCAAGCGTGTGCCTTTCATGTGAGAAAAATGCCATAAGCCTGTTGTGGGGCAAATGCAAAGGTAACTGGGCTCAGGAAAACGGTATGAAGGAAAGCTCTGACAGGGTCTCAACATCCCTATTGAAATGTTGGGGATTGCTTGTTGTAGCTGGTATTCATAGTAGTAAAGATGGTATTACAAAGCCACCTTCCTTTTACTTTTGCCCAGACAAATCGACACTTAATTGTACTAACTACTTCTCCATCCCACCTTATGACCCCTTACTCTTAACCCCACCAAATTTGCAAGTGAAGGCGATGAACACAAGGACTCAAATGAGAGGTTTTTTAGCATCCAAACTTGATTACGAATTCAATGTCCTCCTGATCGTCTCCCTTGGCATTCTTGCAATCCCCAGGCATCAAGACCCAACAAGTAATACGTTGAGGTCGAGTCTAATAACCTCTTATTAAATACACTAGCAACGCCACTGAGCATTTAAGAACTAGTTTCATGACCTTTTCGTATTACTAAAAATTAGCTTGACTGATTAAGTTGAATCGAGCTTTAGATGAAAGAGAAAGAAGGGGAAGGTGATAGGGTTTAGTTGAAGAGTTGCAGATTGCAGGATCATAATTGTAGATCATACTGAAGTCATTGTTACTGATGATACAGATTAAGAATTCCAGGCCCTCGCCTGAACTAATACTTGGCATATAAAGGGCCAACCTTTTGAGAAGGGTGTTAGAGAGTGGATAGAGAGAGAAGGCATTATGGCTATGATATCAAGAAAAAGAGGGATGTGTGCCGGTTGAGGGTTGTGATGGGGGTTTGGACAAAAGGGTCTAACTATTAAGTGTAGAATTAGAAGCTATCATTGGAACGAGCCTAGAGTTTATGGGGGTTAATTGCATTTTGTTCCTCCTTGATGAGGTAAAACCATCACTTGTGGTGTTAGTTACAAATATCTACGTAATTTTTTTTCTTTCCAATTTTATGTACATTATTATTGGGTTTGCAATGAATGTCAATGAACGAAAATTAAACTTATCACGTTCCTCTCCTCTCGTTACATCTCTCATTGCATGTTTGAACACACAGTTCAGTACAGTAGCTCATGTGGTAGCATGTAGGGTTTTCAATGGTAAACCATTAAGCTGACAATATATTTATATAGGTTTTGGATGGTAAGCCTTACAATAGAAGATGTGATGTCTATAGCTTTGGCATATGTCTATGGGAAATTTATTGCTGCGACATGCCCTACCCGGATCTTAGCTTTGCTGATGTTTCATCTGCGGTTGTTCGGCAGGTAAGTTTGTTCTATGAATAGATGGCTCTTTTTTACATAAGGACGTAGAGTTTAAATTTCTCTGTTGGTTCAGTCTGAATGAACTTTCGTGGTTGTCTTAGCAAAGATTTTAATTTTTTGTTCTGTTAAAGATTTGACATATAACTTTTTATGGGCGTTTCATTGTGCATATTATACGATTTTGTTATCAGAACCTACGGCCAGAAATCCCCAAATGTTGTCCAAGTTCTTTGGCAAACATCATGCGCATGTGCTGGGATGGAAATGCAGATAAACGTCCTGAAATGGGTGAGGTGGTGAAACTGTTGGAAGCGATTGATACGAGCAAAGGAGGCGGAATGATACCTGAAGACCGTTCTCCGGGCTGTTTTTGTTTTGCTCCCACTCGCGGTCCATGAGCTTATTACCCTTTATGTGTACCAACCACCAAAGAAAATTGATCGGGCTGTTTTCTTGCCAGAAATAAGATAAAAACAGAAAGAGAGGTGAGGTTTTCTCGGATATGCAGTTGCAGACTCTCTTAAGGTTGCAAACTTGTTTCTTTATTGAATCAACAAAGAAAGGTTTATGATTTTCTCATCAATCTCTATTCCATCTTGTGTTTGTGATGTGGTTGTGTGTCAATACTGCGTCGTGCCATATCAACTGGTCCAAGGTGGTTATTGTTGGGGAGATGTTCTTGCATTTGAGATAAGCCGAGTGAAAGGCTCATAATGTAAAGCTATGAATGCCATGGGTTAGAATCGTAGACTATAGGAAGATGAACGGCTGAGATCACTTTGATGAATGTGTGAGCTCCAGCTATGTAACTGACATTGTCAGTGCACGATTTCTTTGTGTGAGAGTGAGAAGAATATGAACATTCCTCTGTGGTTTACAGAGGCTGAAGCATTCAACCATTCTGAGCATTTTCCATTGTACAATAATGTCATCACCTGATAAGAGATAAAGAATGCGACATGCACATGGTATAATTAAGTTTCTCTATTATGGATGTAACACAAAACCAAGAACTTACCTCTCCTCAAATATCTCATATTATTGTAGCTAACAAAACGTAACGACATGCAGAGCGGATTTATTATAGAACCTGGGTGGTCATGGGACCACCCGAAAGCCTAGAGAGTGGCTGTGAGGATCTCGGAGGACCAACCAAATCTAGGCTGAGGTGGAGGAGAAGAGCAGCAGCTGCTGTAGGAAGTTCTGCAGGCAGTTTTTTGAGTCATTGTTTTGATTCTAGGTAAGTTTGGAGCTGCCTTTGCACCTGTGAAATCTGGGGTTGGTAACATGTCGGTATCGAAAAATTAGGGAAAGGATGTTTGTTTGTTTTTTCATCATTGGAAATTGTAATTTTTAATTAATTATAAGTTAAAAAAGAAAGGGTAAATTACATAATACCTCCCTCATGTTTGAGGTCTATTACAATCTCATACATCTTTAAAACATTTCACTTTCATACCTCACGTACTATTTTATTTCAAAATAATACCTCCGTTAGATTTTCCATCAATTGGTCTGTTAAATGCTGACGTGGCTGCCACATTGGTATTATGTAATTTATTCAAAAAGAAATAATAAAATATGAGGGGTGAAGCAGTACCTTCTGAGACATTTTTTTTTTCCGATGAACCACCTTCTGAGATTTTTAGATGCAGCCTCAGTGCCTAACATGTTTGAGTTGTCCAACATGAAGGTGGATTGTCTGCCCTCCTATTTCCATACTTTTTTCATCATCTCCTATTTTGTGTGGTTACGGTTAACCCACGTCAACATTTTATATTCCTATTATTTTTTGTTTTATTATTTTTATAAAAAAATCAATATAAAATGTTGACGTGGCTTAACCGTGACCACACAAACAGGAGATGATGAGAAGAGTATGGAAATGAGAGGGTAGACAATCCACCTCTGTCCAACGTGTCTCCACGGGTCAAATGAAAAGTCGTAAAAAAAAAAAAGACTTCAAATGTTATTATTTGACTCAAATTATTATACGTACATTTGTTTTGACTAAAATATTTTATGTTTTGGGACATATTGACTTCTAGTTCACTCTCATCATAATGGAGACAGATTGTCTGCCCTCCTGTTTGGGTGTCATTCACATCCCTTCCTATTTGTACAGTCACAGTTAAGCCACGTCAACATTTATATTCTTATTGGTTTTTGTCTTATTATCTCTATAAAAAATTAATATAAAATGTTAACGCGACTTAACCGTGACCGCACAAAATAGGAGGGGATGGGAAGGGCACCCAAACAGGAGGGCAGACAATCTGCCTCCCATCATAATACTTGAAAGGGTTAATCTCTGTTTACTACCTTCATGTTTCGTGGTTTTCAACATTTAGTACATCAAGTTTTTTTCGTCCCAGAGTCATACCTAAAGTGTAAATTTTGAGACAGTCACATACATCCGTTAGTCAAACCGTTAACTCTCAAGTTAACTGATGAAGTGGCGCCCATTTGGACAATGACTAGGTGCCACGTATCATTAAGGGTCCACATGAAAATTAAAAATTCAAAAAAAATTAAAAATTAATTAATTATAAATTAAAATTTAAAAAAGAAAAACCTAAAAGCTTTCCGTATTCTACCTCCCCCATTTCTTTACTCTGCAACGCCAACACCCCCCCCCCACCCACCCGGCGCACCCTTTCCCTTCCTCATCCCCCCGCACCCTCTCCCTCCTTTCTCTATTCTGCAACCTTCACCTTTTCCCTTCATTCTCTCCTTCATCCTCTTCTGCAATTCGTCCGCCAAGTCTCCCTCCCGTCGTCATGACCTTGGTTCCCCCTTCTTCTCAAGTAATTGTTATATGGGTGCTCTTTTCTTTCCCCAATTCTAGAAGTGGTTATATTTGTTCCTGATCAAATATTTGAAATTCTCAACTGGGTTTGGTTTTCGATCTTCGATCTTTTTTTTTTTTTTTTCCTTCTTCTTCTTCTTCTTCTTCTTCTTCTTCTAGGTTGGGGATGGAACTGGTTTGGGTTGGGGGGGGGAAAGACGAATTGGGTTTTGTTTTTTTTTTCCTTCTTCTTTTTCTACTTCTTCTGGGTTTGGGGGGGGGGGGGAAGGGAAGGACGAATTGGATTTTTTTTCCTTCTTCTTCTTCTTCTGGGTTTGGGGGAGGGGGGGAAGGGGAAGGGACGAATTGGATTTTTTTTTCCTTCTTCTTCTTCTTCTTCTTTTTCTTTTGGGTTGGGGGTGAGGGCGGGGGCGGGGTGGGGGACGGGGGGCTTCTTCTTCTTCTTTTGGTTTGGGGGCGGCGGGGGTGGGGTGCTTCTTCTTCTTCTTCTTCTTATGGGTTGGGGGCGGGGGAGAAAGGATGGGGTTTTTTTTTAACTTTTATTTAATTAATTTTTTTAAATATTTTTTAATGACACATGGCGCCTAGTCATTATCTACATGGGTGCCACGTCATTACTTAACAAGAGAATTAACAGTTTGACTAACGGATGTATGAAACTGTCCCCAAATTAACACTTTAGGTATGACTCTAGGACGAAAAAAACTTGATGTACTAAATGTTGAAAACCACGAAACATGAGGGTAGTAAACAGAGATTAACCCTACTTGAAATAATACACTAGGTGACTTGTGTTTTCGATACTCTAAAAATAATGTGGAAAACAAAATGCACCGAGTATTTCAATATGTGTATTTACTTATTGAATTGACTTTAATTTTTTCGATTACAATTGCCTCAGTGGAGGGAGCATTTTTCATCATGAATATCGTAAAAGAGTCTACTCGCAACATAATGGGAGAACAATGGTTACTTATAACTAGGCCTGGCAAACGGGTCGTGTCAATCGTGTTCGTGTCGTTTTCGTGTAACACCTGTTATCTTAACGGGTCGTGTCGTGTCACACCCGTTATCTTAACGGGTCCTTAACAGGTCGTGTCACTTTACCCAACGGGTAAAGTGACCCGACCCATTATGACCCGTTAAGAAAAATATATATTTTTTCTTAAATTTGCACATACCACACATTGCCACATAAATATTACTTCAAAACATTAAAACACATTTGTCGTTTAAGTACTACATCTACACTCGAAAATAAGAGCCTAATAAAAAAATAATACATACACTACTAATCTATTACAAATTTTAAATGTGCAAGGATATGCAAAATGAAACAGTTTTTTTTTTCAAGGTTGTGAAATCTTTCTCAAAAGTTTAAACCTCAATTTACAAAATCCTCGATTTACATCGATCATCATGAAATTGCATTGGAACTTTGGCTTGATCTATTTTGCCTTCAAGAGTTATGTTGATGATGTTTTCAGTAAGGTTTTCCACGTCATAACTATCTTCTGCATAAACTAAGCATAGAAAAACCAAACATTAAAAATCATTCAAATTATGAGAAGTTTACCAAAATAATTATGAAAAAAAAATAAAACAATAGTACTATACCATACTTTTATTACGTATAAACATAAGATTTTGTGGTATCCACTAGTGTAAATATTTTAAATTGAAGATCGAATTCAATCATTGTATTCATATAAGGTCAAGGAGTGTAGTTGTAAAAAATCATCAAAATCGGAGTTAAATTAACCGTTAAAATCATGATTTTTCGTTTTATTAACCGTCGAAAAGTTTTGTCCCGTTACGTGCTCTCTGAATGTTTGTTTTTTGCAATTTTTGGCGTATGCGATCTCGAAATATATACAAACATGTTTGACGGTTGGATCATTGAAACTAGTTTCGTAGAATGAGTATCCCATCAAAACAATAGATTCACTAATACTTAAGAGTTTATTCATACTTTTATTAAGTATAACATAAGATTTTGTGGTTTCCACTAGTGTAAATATTTTAAATTGAAGATCGAATTCAATCATTGTATTCATATAGGGTCAAGGAGTGTAGCTGTAAAAAATCATCAAAATCGGAGCTAAAATAACCGTTAAATCGTGATTTTTCGTTTATAATCGTCAAAAAGTTTTGTCCCGTTACTTGATCTCTGAATGTTTGTTTTTTGCAATTTTTGGTGTATGCAATCTCGAAGTATATATAAACATGTTTGACGGTTGGATCATTGAAACTAGTTTCGTAGAATGAGTATCCCATCAAACCAATAGATTCACTAATACTTAATAGTTTATTCATACTTTTATTAAGTATAATATAAGATTTTGTGGTATCCACTAGTGTAAATATTTTAAATTGAATATCGAATTCAATCATTGTATTCATATAGGGTCAAGGAGTGTGGTTGTAAAAAAAACATCAAAATCGGAGTTAAAAATGACCGTTAAATCGTGATTTTTCGTTTATAACCGTCGAAAAGTTTTGTCCCGTTACTTGAACTTTGAATGTTTGTTTTTTGTAATTTTTGACGTATGCGATCTTGAAGTATATACAAACATGTTTGACGGTTGGATCTTTGAAACTAGTTTCGTAGAATGAGTATCTCATCAAAACAATAGATTCACTAATACGTAATAGTTTATTCATACTTTTATTAAGTATAATATAAGATTTTGTGGTTTCCACTAGCGTAAATATTTTAAATTGAAGATCGAATTCAATCATTGTATTCATATAAGGTCAAGCAGTGTAGCTGCAAAAAATCATCAAAATCAGAGTTAAAATGACCGTTAAATCGTGATTTTTCTTTTTATAACCGTCGAAAAGTTTTGTCCCGTTAATTGATCTATGAATGTTTGTTTTTTGTAATCTTTGACGTATGCGATCTCGAAGTATATACAAACATGTTTGACGCTTGGATCTTTGAAACTAGTTTTGTAGAATGAGTATCCCATCAAAACAATAGATTCACTAATACTTAATAGTTTATTCATACTTTTATTAAGTATAACATAAGATTTTGTGGTATCCACTAGTGTAAATATTTTAAATTGAAGATCAAATTCAATCTTTGTATTCATATAAGGTCAAGGAGTGTAGTTGTAAAAAATCATCAAAATCGGAGTTAAATTAACCGTTAAATCGTGATTTTTCGTTTATAACCGTCGAAAAGTTTTTTCCCGTTACTTGCTCTCTGAATGTTTTTTTTTTGCAATTTTTGGCGTATGCGATCTCAAAATATATACAAATATGTTTGACGGTTGGATCATTGAAACTAGTTTCGTAGAATGAGTATCCCATTAAAACAATAGATTCACTAATACTTAATAGTTTATTCATACTTTTATTAAGTATAACATAAGATTTTGTGGTATCCACTAGTGTAAATATTTTAAATTGAAGATCGAATTCAATCATTGTATTCATATAAGGTCAAGGAGTGTAGTTGTAAAAAATCATCAAAATCGGAGTTAAATTAACCGTTAAATCGTGATTTTTCGTTTATAACCGTCGAAAAGTTTTGTCCCGTTACTTGCTCTCTGAATGTTTGTTTTTTGCAATTTTTGGCGTATGCGATCTCGAAATATATAAAAACATGTTTGACGGTTGGATCATTTAAACTAGTTTCGTAGAATGAGTATCCCATCAAAACAATAGATTCACTAATACTTAAGAGTTTATTCATACTTTTATTAAGTATAACATAAGATTTTGTGGTATCCACTAATGTAAATATTTTAAATTGAAGATCGAATTCAATCAATGTATTCATATAGGGTGAAGGAGTGTAGTTGTAAAAAATCATCAAAATCAGAGTTAAATTAACCGTTAAATCGTGATTTTTCGTTTATAACCGTCGAAAGGTTTTGTCCCGTTACTTGCTCTCTGAATGTTTTTTTTTTGCAATTTTTGGTGTATGCAATCTCGAAATATATACAAACATGTTTGACGGTTGGATCATTGAAACTAGTTTCGTAGAATGAGTATCCCATCAAAATAATAGATTCACTAATACTTAATAGTTTATTCATACTTTTATTAAGTATAATATAAGATTTTGTGGTATCCACTAGTGTAAATATTTTAAATTGAAGATCGAATTCAATCATTGTATTCATATAACGTCAAGGAGTGTAGCTGCAAAAAATCATCAAAATCAGAGTTAAAATGACCGTTAAATCGTGATTTTTCTTTTTATAACCGTCGAAAAGTTTTGTCCCGTTAATTGATCTCTGAATGTTTGTTTTTTGTAATTTTTTACGTATGCGATCTCGAAGTATATACAAACATGTTTGACGGTTGGATCTTTGAAACTAGTTTCATAGTATGAGTATCCCATCAAAGCAATAGATTCACTAATACTTAATAGTTTATTCATACTTTTATTAAGTATAACATAAGATTTTGTGGTATCCACTAGTGTAAATATTTTAAATTGAAGATCGAATTCATTACTTGTATTCATATAGGGTCAAGGAGTGTAGTTGTAAAAAATCATCAAAATCGGAGTTAAAATAACCGTTAAATCGTGATTTTTTGTTTATAACCGTCGAAAACTTTTGTCCATTACTTGATCTCTGAATGTTTGTATTTTGCAATTTTTGGCGTATGAGATCTCGAAGTATATACAAACATGTTTGACGGTTGGATCATTGAAACTAGTTTTGTAGAATGAGTATCCCATCAAAACAATAGATTCACTAATACTTAAGAGTTTATTCATACTTTTCCACTAGTGTAAATATTTTAAATTGAAGATCGAATTCAATCATTGTATTCATATAGGGTCAAGGAGTGTGGTTGTAAAAAATCATCAAAATCGGAGTTAAAATGACCGTTAAATCGTGATTTTTCATTTATAACCGTCGAAAAGTTTTGTCCCGTTACTTGCTCTCTGAATGTTTTTTTTTTGCAATTTTTGGCGTATGCGATCTCGAAGTATATACAAACATGTTTGACGGTTGGATCGTTGAAATTAGTTTCGTATAATTCGTATCCCATGAAGTTCAATGGTGTGTGTGTGTGTATATATATATTTATTTATTAAGTAGATTTAAATCTATTTATTTTGTATGTATAATTATTATAGTATATATAATTATTATAATTATTATAGTTAATTTAATATATATATATATATATATATGATTATTATAGTTTTTAGGGGTATAAAATTGTTAAATTAATATATATATAATTATTATAGTATTTTTTTAGGGTTATAAATTATTAAATTAATATTCTACTTATCGTGTATCGTGTTACCCACGTGTATACCCGAACAAACCCGTTATCTTAACAGGTGCTTATCGGGTTACCCGATAACGACCCGTTTCGTTATCGTGTCGACCCGAACACCTGTTAATTTCGTGTCGTGTCGTGTCGGGTTATCGGGTCGTGTCAGGAATTGCCAGGCCTACTTATAACTTAGTTGTCTGCATGAGGAACAATGTTTTCTTGTATTGACAATGAAACTATCGTGACATGTTTTCAGAGTATGAAACCTCATCGCAGATATATTTACCTTTATAGCTTGTAATCTTGTTTGCATAAAGACTCTGGAAAAAAATTGCAGTTTATCGTTTAATTTTTTAATGTTATTTTCGGAAAGAAATGAATGTTATGCAACTTAAATACTATTGACGAAAAAAAAAAAACCTTTTGCAAATTGTAACTTAAAATCCTACATATGTTCTCAAATACAATAGGTGAATACATGCAAGTTCAATCTTGAAAGTTGATTTCCACACACTTTTATTTAATTATAAAGAAAGCAAAATACATAATTATACACCATAATTAAACAATGGTGTGTACCAGAAAAAAAAAAAAAAAGAATACGTCATTATCAGTTTCTAATATTTTCTCTAAATTTTGAAGAAATTGTCATCTCAAAAAATAAAAAATAAAAAAAATCCGCTCAATTGGAAAACACGGGGAAATTTTTTCTACAAAACAGTATGATGAAATCCAATACGATTCAAGCGTCCAATCCCAACGCAAAAGGAAGCAATTGAAACATTTCAGTTAAGTTAGTTGGCACAGTTGGTGTAAATCCCACAACAATGGCTGCGACGCTCCAACTGAGCCCTCTGGTCTCCGCCGCCCCAAGCCTCGCAGCTCCCACCACCCAAAACGAACCCAAAACCACAGCCATGGAAACTTCCCCAACTGGGTCACTCAGAAACTGCAAAACCATGAACGAAGTAAAGCAGCTCCACTGTCACATCACCAAAACCGGCCATGGCAGCAAACCATCCACTGTCACCAGGCTAATTTCTACATGCGCCGAAATGGGCACCTCCGAAAGCTTGGAGTATGCCCGAAAAGCCTTCGACTTGTTCCTTGGGGACCAGGAAACAAAGGGTATGTTGTTCATGTGCAATTCTCTGATAAGGGGTTATGCAAGTGCAGGGTTCAGTGATGAGGCTATCTTGCTTTATGTTCAGATGGCGGTGAGGGGGATTTTGCCTGATAAGTTCACGTTTCCGTTCGCGCTGAGCGCTTGCTCGAAGGTTGTGGCTTTCTGTGAGGGGGTTCAGCTCCATGGAGCGCTTGTGAAGATGGGTTTGGAGGGAGATGCGTTTATTGACAATTCTTTGATCCATTTTTATGCCGAGTGTGGGGAGTTGGATTATGGACGCAAGGTGTTTGATGGAATGTCTGAGAGAAATATTGTGTCGTGGACTAGCTTGATTTGTGGTTATGCTAGGAGGAACTCCCCAAGGGAGGCTGTTTCTTTGTTTTTTGAGATGGTGGCAGAGGGTTTTGAACCTAATTCAGTTACCATGGTGTGTGTCATTTCTGCTTGTGCAAAGTTGAAGGATCTTAAATTGAGTGAGAGGGTGTGTGCTTACCTTGGAGAGTCGGGAGTGAAAGTTAATACGCTTATGGTGAATGCACTTGTTGATATGTATATGAAATGTGGAGAAACGGATGCTGCAAAGCGGATTTTTGACGAATGTGTGGATAAGAATTTGGTTCTTTACAATACAATTTTGTCAAATTATGTGCGTCAGGGGCTGGCTAGGGAGGCACTTTCTGTCTTGGATGAAATGATGCGACAGGGTCCAAGAGCCGACAGGGTTACATTGTTATCTGCAATCTCAGCATGTGCACAACTAGGCGATTCTTTATCTGGAAAGTGCTGCCATGGTTATGTTATAAGGAATGGACTAGAAGGTTGGGATGCTATCTGTAATGCCATGATTGATATGTACATGAAGTGTGGAAAACAAGAGATGGCCTGCAGAATTTTTGATAATATGTTGAATAGGACTGTAGTTTCATGGAACTCTGTGATTGCTGGTTTTGTAAGAAGTGGTGCAGTGAAGTCAGCGTGGCAAATGTTCAATGAGATGCCGACGAGTGATCTTGTCTCTTGGAACACCATGATTGGTGCCTTGGTCCAAGAAAGTATGTTTGAGGAAGCAATTGAGCTTTTTCGGGTGATGCAGGCTGAGGGAATAAAAGGAGATAGGGTGACCATGGTGGAAGTGGCATCTGCCTGTGGATATCTAGGAGCTCTTGATCTTGCAAAGTGGACCCATGCTTATATTGAGAAGAATAAAATCGACTGTGATATGCGGCTTGGCACAGCCTTAGTTGACATGTTCGCTAGATGTGGCGATCCTCAGAGTGCAATGAAGGTGTTCGATAAAATGAGGAGAAGAGATGTGTCTACATGGACTGCAGCCATTGGGGCAATGGCCATGGAGGGAAATGGGGAACGGGCTCTAGAGCTTTTCGATGAGATGATTAGGCAAGGAGTGAAACCAGATGAAGTTGTCTTTGTGGCACTGCTAACGGCATGCAGCCATGTTGGATTTGTGGAACAAGGATGGAACATTTTCAGGTCAATGAAGTCTGTTCACGGCATTTCCCCACACATTGTTCATTATGGCTGCATGGTTGATCTGCTAGGCCGAGCGGGGTTCTTGGAAGAAGTTGTTGATCTGGTAAAGAGTATGCCAATGGACCCCAATGATGTCATTTGGGGGACCCTCTTGGCTGCTTGCCGAACTCATAAAAATGTTAAAATCGCATCATATGCAGCCGAACAGATGTCCACGCTATCTACTCAAAGGACTGGGATTCACGTGCTTCTATCAAACATATATGCATCTGCTGGGAAATGGGATGACGTTGCAAAAGTGAGGCTGCATTTGAAGGAGAAAGGCGTCCACAAGGTACCCGGATCAAGTTCCATAGAGGTTAATGGAATGATCCATGAGTTTACTTCCGGCGGTGATACAAACACAGAGAAGAGCCAGACTGCATCGATGCTACAAGAAATAAATTTGAGACTGAGAGAAGCTGGTCATGTTCCGGATTTGGACAATGTCCTGCTTGATGTTGATGACAAGGAAAAGGAGTATTTGCTCAGTCGTCACAGTGAGAAACTGGCCATTGCTTTCGGGCTGATCGGAACAGGACAACGAGTGCCGATTCGTGTGGTTAAGAATCTCAGAATGTGCTCTGATTGTCACTCCTTTGCCAAGTTTGTGTCAAAAATATACAACCGGGAAATTACCGTTCGAGATAACAACAGGTTCCATTTCTTCCGTCAGGGGCTTTGCTCTTGTGGTGATTACTGGTGATAGAAATATAATTGAAGAAAGACATCGTCTACTCATCTATGGATTAAGCATATTCCACTTTGGACTGGGATTGGGGCACAGATATTGGAAACCCAGGCTCGGTTTCGGCCTCATCCGTCGATAAGCCAGCGTGAGGAGCAGCCGGCTACTTCGACTTCGCCAATGATTTAGCGACAATGAGCAACCTTTCGTGGTGGTTTGTCCCTCTCAGAATGAAGGCCTACTGAATTCAAATGCGATCAACATTTTTTGTTTTCAGGATCTTAATAACCGACATTCTAAAGCTTGAGCGTTAACAAAGTTTTTATTTCATCAGGATACAAAAGAGAGCAAGTCTACAAAATTTAACGACCATTTTGCATGACAAAATAACCAAGCATCATAAAACAGTCCTAAATGCCTTTAGGCTATCACGATTTGCTTCGTAGCTGGGGAAACATGGCGTCAATGGAGGCATGGTGCATCGGATCTTTGAGCCAGAGATTTGCTACATGATGATGAGATGAGGTCTGCCGGTGGACTTCTTCAACGAGCCAGATGGTGGCTTCAGCTTTACAAGGATGAATGATGGTATCCAAGGGCCTGTACTCCTCCTCACTGCCGATCCTCAGCTGATCCCACTGTTTTAGGAGAAGATTGGTGAGGTAATGCAACGGTTGTCCATACAATTGCTTAATGGACTTGCCTAAACCCGTCCATGAGGTAAATGGAATAACAGAGCCACGGTTTGATGGGATCGGGATCTGCTTCATGTAGTCCTGATACATCTCTGCCCTTCGTGCCAAAGCACCTACAATTAAAAACACGTTTAGAGGATAGAAAGCTATCCAACGATTCAAGAGCATTGGATTCATCAAGGGTGTTAACGTACACTCCATTGGGTGTGAAACGTACATTTCAAACGACAAGAATAACAATAGTGAGTCCACATTTTATTCAGCTTAGTTAACAAGTTAATCGCATTGTCATACTGGCATTTAATATAGCCAACTATGTAGCCAGCCACTACACCGCAATAACAGGAAAAACAGAACTTTCTGGCCGATTATCTTAGCCAATGAGCGTTTTCAGTAATAAAATGGAAAAATGTTAATCCATTTACCGGAACAAACAGCATTGCATGGCTTGGAACAGAAATTTTTACAAATGAATAACATCTTGATGGAATTAGTCACCGTAATCTAAACATGATACGGGTGCATAATGTTCCAGCTATACAAGGTTGATAATAAGCATCTACGATGATAACTTCCTCAAACTTGAATGTAAGGTATTTTAAAAGCATGTTTAAAGCACTAGCAATTTCAACTGGACTTCATACTTCTTTATAGTTAGAAAAAACCTAGCAATAAATCTTAAATGATAGTAACACTACGATTTCAGCATAAATCAGTTCACCAGTTTCAGCAAAACAAGGCTTCAATAGCTTGACTGCACGTACCTTCTGGTGTTATTTCTTTGTCAGGCTGATCAAATGTGATATTAGTGTCTGACTGCTTGCTATCGCACTCATTAACGGATTCCATCTCCATGTCCGGGGAAGAAGAGTCATCTGATGAAATAACATCCACCTGCTCATCCCAGGGAGCTGCCCTCTTCATAGTATGTGGACTGTAAACCTGCAAACCTGTACACAACATCACTCATTTAGCATTCTCAGGGAGTACAAGATTAAAGAGGTAGCTGAAATAAAAAACACGAAAAAGTTAAGCTCCCAAAAGAACCATAAGTTACTCAATTTCTGCAGCATACACACCACCCACCACCATAAAGCATCATTTCGATAAGTTAGCTACACGGAAGGTTTCAGAGAAAATTACAGATTCTGGTGGCATTTGAAACATAATCATCCTATCATCGGGTTTTTCGCTAATCTTCAAATACAAATTGTCGAAAACAATGGCGTTCCGAGGAAACTAGATGCATGACAATACCTGCTGCTAATTTCAAAACCATGGATGCCCACATGGGAACAACAACTGTCACAAAAATTCTCTATTCCTAATTCCCAAAGGCAAAAATTAAAACCTAAACAGATAAATTAGGTTATGAATTATGGATAAAAGGCATGCAATAAACAGGCACAGTCTAAGCTAATCTAATCTGGACTACCAAAATCATGAATTATCAATTTTTAATCTTTTCAATTTCTACCGGGAACCCATTTCCTTCTGCCAAATGGGTCTTTCAAAGTTTCGCTCGATTCTATCAACTGTGTCAGAATTAACAATTCTACAAAGCATTTTGCAGTGAATTTCCATGAACCATTTTTGCCTAATTAGTTTTCAATTGCATGGTATTTCAAAAAAAAAAAAAAAATACAAAATTCCTAAAAACATTCTTGATTCTTCAAAATTTCCCAAAAGTGGCAGAACTCAATCACCCAATTTGTCAAATTAGAAGACCCAATAAAGAAGAGGTAAGAGAGTTTAATGAATTGCACAGAGAGAGAGAGAGAGAGAGAGAGAGAGCAGCGGAGGACTGGAACCGACTGACCTGTAAACGGCAAAGGAGAAACGAATTTTCGTGGTGACGTCAACTTTTCTCAGTCAGTTGTACCAATTCGGTCGAATTTGTAATAGAATAAGTACGCAGAGGAGACTGAGGAGAGTTCCACTTTGGGCTCCATCATTGACCCGTCCGTATGTGTACTCACATATGGGTCGCCCCGACCCAACCCTTTTACGTGTGGGATCCATTGTAAACTAATGGTAACAATAACTCACAGTCACTTTTGACTGCTTTGTATGAAAAACTAACGATTATAAGGGCTGACAATCACTTTTCCGTGCTTAGTATGAAGAACCAACGACAATTAAGGCTGACAATCAATTTGCATAATTAGCGTGCACGAGGGACGTTAACATTTGACCCTCCCTTTAATGTATAATTCAAAATTATTGTTGTTTTGTTTCTTAGCATGAAAAACTAATGATTATAAAGGCTGACAATCACTTTTGTGTGCTTAGCATGAAGAACTAACGATTATAAAAGCTAACAATCACTTTTGTGTGCTTAGCATGAAGAACTAACGATTATAAAAGCTGACAATCACTTTTACGTGCTTAGTATGAAAAACCAACGATTATAAAGGTTGACGATCAATTTTGCATAATTAGCATGCATGAGAGATTTGTTCATAATTCAAAATTATTGTTGTTTTGTTTCTAACTTTAACTTTTCTTTCATTTTTCAAGGAAAACATCACTCACATCACGTGTTTTAGTATATACAATCACAATCAACTGGTAAGATTTGTTCATGAAAGGGAGTGGCTTTAGCATGTGGGTTTAATGGTAACAATGACTGACAATCAACTTTGCGTACTTAATGTGTATGAGAGTCAAATGTTAGCATTGTATCCTTCCATTATATTGGTAAAAGATTTTGTTCTTTTGTTCCTAGTTTTAACCTTTTTCCTTTTTAAAAAAGGTATTTCGCATCACGAGTCTTAGCTAGTATATACATTAGCAACCAAATAGTAAGATTCATTCTTGGAAAAGATGAAGATCGTATAACTGGCGAACACTATAATATTAATATCATCTTCAATTATATTCCAGGAAGCTCTTTATTAATTCTTCCTCGAACATTATTTATTTACTAGCCTCTCCATACGCACTAACATACGAGAGACATTTTTTTAATCACGGGCACATATCATGTCATGCCCCGACCCACGAACAAGGATCATTCATAAGTTAGGGTGTGAGTCACATCTTAGCTATAAATAAATTCTACAACCAAGATATGGTGGAAAATAAAATTAAATACCATACACCATATAACAAAATCTTACTTAAAATTTATCAAATATGCAGCAGAATAACAATAGTGCACAAATTAATTCACAACAAGAACTACCAACAACAACAACAACAACAAAGCCTTTTCCTACTAAGTGGGGTCGGCTATATGAATCCTAGAACGCCATTGCGCTCGGTTTTGTGTCATGTCCTCCGTTAGATCCAAGTACTCTAAGTCTTTTCTTAGGGTTTCTTCCAAAGTTTTCATAGGTCTTCCTCTACCCCTTCGGCCCTGAACCTCTATCCCGTAGTCACATCTTCGAACCGGAGCGTCAGTAGGCCTTCTTTGCACATGTCCAAACCCATTTTGTGTACGTGTTGATGCTTCACCGCCCAACATTCTGTGCCATACAGCATTTACCCCTCCTGAGTTTCATCTATCAACACTATATCGTTTGCGAAAAGCATACACCAAGGAATATCATCTTGAATATGTCCTGTTAACTCATCCATTACCAAAGCAAAAAGGTAAGGACTTAAGGATTGTTGATGCATAAAATCAGTTAGGACTTTGGTACAACAGAAAGTATTAAGTTTGTGATCTTCGCTAGATTGCTCTGGTCATTAGTGTGGATAAGTATGTAAATGGATAGAGACAGGAAAACAAACACAAGATGTACGTGGTTCACCCAGATTGGCTATGTCCAGTAGAGGAGTTCTCATTAATTGTGAAGGGTTTACACAAGTACATAGGTTCAAGCTTTCCTTTAGTGAGTACAAGTGAATGATTTAGTACAAATGACATAGGTTCAAGCTCTTGTCTTCACTTGCCTTATCTGTCTTATAGGTAGATGTGGCATCTTCTCTGGAAGTACTCTTCCTCCATCCAGGGGTGGTATCTTTAACTGGTGGAGATGCACAAGGTAATATATCAATTTCACTTGAAGCTTACTTGTAGTTTCAGGCTTGGTCAAGCGCGATACAAACCATGTAGTAGGAGTCCCCCAAGTCGCCGAGCTAGGGGATCTGCTGAAAGAGGCGACAGACAAGGTAAGCAATTAGATCTCCAAGCAATCAGTCCCATATCAGAAGTTTGATTTCGAGTTCCGGCTGATTGCTCTCATTCTCCCTATCTTGCAGGCAGCATGAAGGATAAAGAGAAGAAAAGAAGAATATATGATATGAGATACTTTTGCTGAAGAAGTAACTTTCCACAGGCTTATTCTTGAACTGGGCTGGAGGATTTTCTGGTTTCCTCCAGAGTATAAGGCCGACTGAAGAATTTGAGGGTCAAAACAAGTCCATCAAATCTAGAGTACGTTCGACCCTGTTGATATGGGATACTTTTGTTGTTGACAAAGTAGTGGATGTATCGGCACGTGTTCTGTTACGCTTGTCTCCACATGCTTCCTTGTATCCTTCTCACTTTCCCTATCTGTTCCTCAGGCAGATGTGGTATCTTCTCTGGAAGCATAAGATGTTGAAGATGAGTACTCGAGAGCAATGCCAGGTAAGTAATCAGGTAAGGGGTTCCAGGCAGTCAGTTCCTGACTAGAAGCTTGATTCCAA